AGAAATGAAAAGACCAGCCTATATATCTGATAAAACACAGAATATCCCCAGTACAATACAGTAACCATATGGCTGTACAAATAAAATAAATACAAGACAAAGTAACTGCTCATTTTTATGACAATATTTGGCAAACACAAATATTATAATACTATAACAATGTTCACATTCACAGAAGAGAGCAAAGCCAATAAAAAGGAGTGGGAAGTGAGTAGATTTATCATATACAGTAAGACAATGACATGTTAAAGGAAATATTTTCTTGTTTTAAACTAAGTTCTTGAGGGTAATACTTAAGGTAAAGTACAACTGCAATGTAATCAAAACAGAGAATTCACAGTGTGGCTTGTCCCAAAGCCTGATGAGCCAGCCTCAGATTTTCTCTCATCTCATCCAGCTCTCTCTCAGCTCTGGCCCTCATGATGCTCAGCTCAGTGTACATGTCCTTATATTTCTTTGTTGTGTTTCTCTTGTCCTGTAATGTGGCAGAAATCAGGACCTGTAATTATCAAACTGCTAACTAAGTAACATTTTGGACTTCGGTGAAAGATGAAAGTAATAATCCTTCACCTTTACTCCTACTCTCAAACCTAAGTCTAAAAACTTCTAATCAAATGACTTTTGACATAAAAAGTCTCTTAAACAAACATCACAGAGGCGTCTGTTGTTTAAGGATAGATCCTCAATGGACTGTAATACAGAAAACAACCAAGTATGCCTGTAGGACAATGATAATATTCCAACTGTGTGTGTGTGTGTGACTCTCACCCTTTGTGCTGACTGCAGTTCATCCTTCAGAGATGTGATCTCCTGCTTCAGACACTGCACCTCAGACTCTTTCACTCGCAGAGTAATCTGAAAGAAAATCCTCTAATGATCAGCTTCATAGCTTGACAAAGGGTAAATGCACAGAAATAACTCCTTCACACTCAAATGACACATGAGCATTTTTACATGGTTTACAGTGTCCAATTCTATTGTGGGTGATATTTACACAGTTCACCAACTAAAACTTTATAGACCTTTAAACAATTTAATACTAAAAACAATTTAACACTTATTTTATTGTTTCATACAAGCATGAATTTGATATTTACTGTATATCCAATTTTTGTCACTCTTCTCCAGATGTAAATTAACAGTATACAGTATAATACAATACCTTATATTATTCCCACAGGGAAGACTCACCTCCAGCTCATAGGCATCCATTCCTTGGCTGAGTGGCAGCTCGTGCTGTTTGGCCAGAGAACAAAGTCTGGTGATCTCTGCTGCGAGGTGACCACTCAACTCCTGGACACATAATACACAGTACAATATGCATGCTTCTTATCTACTGACACTTTGTTTATGTCTTAACTTTTCTACCTCATCAACCATCACTAAAGAAAAACAATTCTCACCAGATAAGCTGGATTGTGTGATAAAAATGGACTCTTAACTCTTCAGGGAGTATTTATTACTTTAAGATAAGAGGTTTTCAAACTGTTTGTCTGTTTAACATCTGTTTATACATGCTAAATGTAGAATCTAAAAAGTTGTAGAAAGCACCAGAGAAAACAATAATTTTATCAGGATTGACTCATTTTCCTACATACAAAAAATCTTCTGAATAATCTGAAGTTAAGTGGCTGGTGAGTGTATATAAGGCTTTGAATTTAGACAGAGCTGGAACCCAGTGGTACATCTATGCCGAGAGTAGTTTTAAACCCTTGATATCTGCAGGCTTTAACTGTGTAGAAGAACACATAAAAGGTGAGCTAAAGAGAGTGTACTAGAGCTCTCACCTGGTTCCTGGTCCTCAGGTCCTGGTTTTCCTGCTGGCACTGACACAAGGCCTTCCTCTCAGCATCCAGAGCCTGGACAAGATGCCTGTTCTCCAGACACTTGAGGGAGAACTGCTGTGACAAAACATCAAGCTCCCGCTGGCAGGACTCCATCTCCTCACTTCACAACACAGATATTCAACACAGCCACACAATCTTTTTAAACTATTTCCCTATAAGATCATGCAACCAGTAACATAACATGCTTTTCATTGTACACAGTTTCCTGGATAATGGAAATCCAGTGGGAAATCCTTAGTGAATGCTACCTGTGTTGTCTGTACAGGTCTTCCAGGTGTGCGTTTCCACTGCTGTTTTGTGACTGACATCTCTTCTGCAACTCCCTCTGCAGCTCCAGGCGGTGAGCGTGATTGATGGCTTCAATTGCTGAGGAGGAACACAAGAGGGATGTCCTTGTGAGAGTTTTGCAGAATCATATACTTAATATAAGAGGCAGCAAATAAAAATTTCAGACATGTATACCCTTTCTGTAAAGCGATTTAACCAAGATGATTTTGAAGTCTAATGATGATAAAAAAAGGCCAATGTTTTTGAATAGAAGTTGCCCAGAAATCATTAACAAATGCCCTTCTTGTGGATTACAGGGTGGCATTACATTTCTGACTATGTAGCAAGTATTAAAACAACTACTGCTACTATAAACTACAATAGTATTAGAATCAGCTCAAATAAAAGGCTTCCCAATGACAACTGCTTTAATATTAACTATAAAATTAACTAACATTAACTGTACAATAAATATTTAAAGACCCAAAACTGCATTTTGACCATATAAATTATGTTTATATATAAATTTAATGAAAAATCAGCATTATGTGCATAGTTACATATAACAAAATACATCTTTTACATTTATTGTACTGTCCACATTACTGATGTCAACACACTTCAGAAAATATACTAGCTACATTTTTTTCCATTTAAATATAGGCCTACTGTAAAAGAGTCTCTTCTCACCAGTTGCAGTAGCAGTGGTTTCCTCTTCCAGTAATAGGTCTCTCTCCACCAGGAGGCGCTCCACCTCCTTCTGGTGTTGATACTGCAGCTCCTCCACCACCTTCAGGTGAGATTCCTGCACGGAGGCAAACCCCTGCTCACATGAGGCCTGGACGAACAAGAGACACATGGGTCACATCTTACACACCTTATGATTTCAGAGTTACTTTATAAATGCAACTGGTCACAATGTGGCAGACAACGTAGAAGTGGGCAATAAGACAATTTTGTCATTTTTGTCAAGCCCACTTTTGCTACCATGTATAACACTGCAACTATCTTTTTAATATCAAACTATGGGCAAACAACAGGACTGCTTTATGACCATACAGGATTTTTATTACTTTTATATTGATGTCAAAACCTAGAGTCTAAATTAGCCACAATACAACTCGATTGCTGACAGTTCAGTCAGAGACTCAGGTGTATCATGCTAGTAGTGGCTAATGTAGTTACAAGCCTTTAGACATGAGCAGACACGTATTGTGGGGTCACTTCTTATTATACTTGTAGCCATCAGCTCCAGCCGTCACTGACTCAAGAGGCAGTGTGTCTGATTTTGCACAGTTCTTTCTAGAGCCACTAAAGACGTTATACTGCTTTTTCACAATATTCCCTAACTCATTTAAACGTGTTCTCCTTTAATTTATTAATTTTGTCTGGCATGAAGACAGATACATTGACAGACAAAATTATATTTATATAAACACATACAGTACTAATGGCAGCTTTAATATTAAAATACTATCTATTTAGCATTATACCTACCTTCAGCTTTTCCATTTCCTTCTCATGCTGCATTTTCACAGAACTCATTTGCCCATCAAACTCTTCTTTCATCTCCTCGGTTATGACAGACATCAGCTCCTCCAGCTCATTCGCTCTTCTTCTCAGTGCTGAAACCTGATCCAGCTCCTCACCTGGAACTGTTTCCTTGTGGGTTTCATCACTTTTGTCTGTGTTTTCATCTGAGATCTCCTGCATTCCCAGCTGAACTTCAACACCTGAAAGTGCAATTTCCATACAGTCATCTGGTGTTTTATGCGTCTCTTGCACCTTTTCTTCCCTAATTTCACCTGCAGTACTCTCCGTTGTCTGTGACTCTTGATCCTGCCGGTAAGTTTCGTCTGTCTGGCAACAGGTGTTCACCTCATCGCCTCGTGAGGACGCTTGTTGCAATCTTATTTTTAGCTCCCTGTTTTCTTCCAACAGTTTGACACAGCTGCTGCAGTTGAGAGGAGAAGTGAGGAGTTTCTGTTTGATTTCTTCATGCTCCCTCACAAACTTTGACTGAAGCCTGCTTAGATGACAGCAGTATAGTGCTTCAGTGGCTGCAGAGTGAATGAATCCAGACCGAGGATGCTCTGAAATGTGAAAATCGTTGAGTGTGTCTGCCATCAACTGGAGTTTTGCAGAGGTGGCGACAGAGGAGGTGACGTAGTTTAGCAAAGAAATTTTCATCTGTGTCATCACTCTAAAATGTTTAATATCACACAGCTGGTTGCTGAAATCAAGCATCCTGCTTTCATCTGTCCTTTTGGTTTCTGTTGCTGGAATATTTGCAGTGTTCCATTTACCATCCATATCTTTCAAAGATTCATTCTTTTCCCCATCACCTGTCTGAGAAAGTAGACCATGGCCTAAAAGCAGCACTTGTGTCTCCAGTATCATATGTTCTGTCACCTCACTGAGAAGCTTTTCTACAGCTTTCTCCTCATTTGATTGGGAAGTGCTGGTTCGGAGTTCGTTGAGCAGTGAACTCCAGAAACCTTCCTCCCATTTCAACTGACTCACCACTGTAGGCTCCTCCTCCTCCTCATGCTCACTTTCTTTTCCAAACTCCAACCTGTTAATCACATCCAACAGCTTTCCCAAAGCTTCCAACCTCATGACTATCCCCTCTATCACTTGCTGGATCCTTTCTTCACCAGAAACACCTCTGTTTCCATCTCTATCTTTTAAGCTCCCCTCCTCTAACTTCTGATTCAGGCTCATGATGTCAGCCTCTGCCTCTGCAGCTCTCTGACGGTAAAGTTTCTCAGCTTGCTTCAGCTCTGAGTTCTGTGCCTGGAGCTCCCTGCAGGTCAGCTCTGATTGGTCAAGCTGCCTCACCAGCTCCATCAGTTTTGCCTGAGTAGCCTGAAAACACTGCAGCAGATATGCCTCTGTTTTCTCAGCACAGTGGCTTTTCTCCTCTCCTGTCTTCCCTGTTTCTGCTGGGATGTTCAGCTGCAGCATTGCCTCCGTCTCCCTCAGATTTTCCCCCAGAGAGGTGATAAGCATCTGGGCCTCCAGGAGTTCCTGGTTCCTCAAGCTCAGCTCCTTCTCCAGATCTTCTAGCCTCATCTTTCCCTGCTGTTCCACTTCTGGTAGATGATGAGGTTCAGTGTACCTGCAGCTGAGCTCTGCTTTCAGCCGCTCTATCTCACGGTCCGCCTCTATCAGTTGGTTTAGCATCTCCTGGTTGCGTTGGTTGAGAGCCTCGTTCTGGCTGGTAAGCAGCTCCACCTCTTGTGAAAGCCTCCTCACCATTGCCTGGTCTGGAGGTATGTGCTGCTCTACGCAACAGCTGAGAGAGATGTTGTCTCCTTCTGTAGGCTTTTCCAGAATGAATGAACTCAAACCATATTCATTCATGTTATTTATTTGTGTTTCTGAGGTGGGAAATATCTGACTGTCGTCAGAGTCCAACAGATTCTGGTCAGGATTTGTTGCAACATCCAAATTTAGTTCTATAGTTTGTCCATCACTCTGTGACAGTTGGCTGTCTGATGCAGGTGACAATAAAGGTGTGGCTATACTCTCAGGAAGAAAATCTCCTACTTGTTGGAAATTGCCCTCTTTATCATGCAGCCAGATACTGGGTGTCTGAGGTGCTAATGAAGGTGACGAAAGGCCAAGCTGCTCATACATGTCCTGTCTTAAAATGTTCTGCTGCTGTAAGAGCTTTCTGGTTTCTTCAGACACATCTTTCAGGCTCTGTGTGTGGCTGTTCAATGGCTTTTCATTTGTGTCCCACTGGCAAAAATCTGCTTCAGAACAGAACAGCAAGGAGTCCAGCTTAGAAAACAGAGAAAGGGAAAAAAGGAGAATTAGCACCATATGTTTAAACACAGAATGGTTGAACATAACAAGATATCAACTAACAGCCTCAAGCAGCTGAAGCCAAAAACATATTTTGCTTTACTGCTGGGCAGACCTGCTGCTGCTGATGTCCCACTGTGTTCAGCTGAGCTTCCACCTCCAGTCTGCGATGCTCAGACTCTGCCAGCTTAGCCTTCAAATCCTCAACCTTCAACAAGGCAAAGACATCCAGTTAGCAAAAGGGGTGCTCCACTGATTTCACACTTCATATGAGTTTACTTATTACTGTTAGCACTACCTGTTGCAATCTGGGGCAGGAAGTGTCAAAGCCAATATCAAGATACATTATAGGAACTGTAGGTCCCAAATTTCAGTCAGTATAACAGGAATAAATAATAGAAAACACTTCTATCAAATTTCCTTTCTAGTTATGATCATCAGGATCATCAAGTAGCAAAAACAATAGATGGTATAAATTTCATATTGATATTGTGAACAGATCCACTAAACCATAGTGTGTAACTACTGTTCAGGCTGTACATACAAATACACACAATATGTTATTTGTCGACTGGCCTTAGTGCCCAGTCAAGTGGCCTTTGTACCCTTAGAAAATATATGAAATTGGCCAAATGGCTTTTCCCTTCAAAATATGAAATTTATGGCCTGGGTACCACATTAAACAAAAACTTTAAAATAAAAAATATATATTTGGGCATGAAATTAAGTCCTCAGTTATTTGAATTTTGTGGCCACTTGGGGGCAGAAGATCTCTGTAACAAGCTGAAAACAGCACTGACATATATGGATATAATATTTTGTAGTTGAGCCTTTGAGATATTAAATACAAGATACAGCATATAAAAAACTTCAGTCAAAAAATCATTGGTATGTTTGGTAAATGGTAATATTGGCATTCACCCCCTTCATGTAACTGTCCAGCAGTTTCTCCATTTCCACAGTATGCCTGGCTTCGGTATACAGTGGAACTGTCCTCTCCAGTCTGAATACAGTCTTCTCCACCTGCTTCCAGCGCTCTTCTATCTCCTCTTCCATTGTCTGCTGTGACTCTGGACTCAGTGCTATAACACCACTGTCCAATGTCTTATCTCCAGTCTCTTCCTTGCCCAAGGAGAAGCCCAGCATACTTTCATATCTCCTTCTCCTCTCCTCCCGCCTCTTCCTTCTCTCTGGGTCACCCAACTCTAGTAAGCATGAAGGTTTAGTCCTCAGTGGGTCCGTCTCCCTCTTCTGATTGCTATGAGACCTAAACCCAGACCAGTCAAAGGTTTTATAACGTCCTTCCCGTCGTCTCTCCATCACACTCCTGGGTTTGGGGTGAGGGTCTCTCTCTGCGGTGACATCAGTGGAGGATGAGTCCTGGGTCACATCTGGTTTGGGGAGAGCTTCAGCTGGGCTGCAGGGAACATGGTGGTAGCCAGGTAAACTGTATTCAATTTGTTAAATAGAGGAGAATGAGAAAATATCACAAGGTAGGGTAGGGACGGACCAATTACTTGACTGACTGATTTAACATGAAAGCATTTGTCCACTATTTTTATAATCAGTTAATCTTTTTAGTCAATTAGTTAGTCTAGGAAAAACACAAAAGATTCACTGTTCTCTGATGTGATGACCAAGTTTTCACTTTTTTAATGTTTTATATTTTACTTTGACTTTACCTGGCTACATCAGGGGCACTGGCTGGCTGTACATTTTTCATCAGAGCCTGGATCCAGTTCTTTCGTATCCCTGCAGTCATGGCAGACAACGTGTAGACAGCATTCAGGGTCTATAACATATAAAGACCTAATTCAGTTTCAATGTAATCTCAGCGTATATAGTACAAAATAACTGACTGTTAGTACAGTATAGGAACTGTGAAGTTTTACATGGATCTGAAAGCCATAGTTCCTCTGCACCTGGTACTCAGACACATTATAACACTTTGTTAGGTCAATTTCTCCTTCAAGATCTGAAGCCTGAGAAGAAAAATGAGAAAATATATTTAAGCATTAAATGAAACAAAAGAGCTACATTTTTTATTCTGTACAACACATAATAACAAAGTACCTCCTCAGCCACTGAGTCCTTGTAGTATCTCAGATTGTCAGTCGATAGTACAAACCAATATTTCTTCCACTAGAAAAAGTAAGACATATGAAAGGTATACTGTAGAAGGCACTTGGTTGTTAACAAATAGTGAATGAATGGCAATCATTTAAATCACCAGTATAACTTAAACTGGTTTTTAGGTTAGTTTACGACTAGAAATGATTTACCTGGTCATTTTCACCATCCAATTTCATCATCCAGCCTTTCTTGAAGTTTAATAAATCTGGCTGTAAAACAATACAATGTAAAATCAACAGTTCAGAGAAAAGAAGAGAAGAAATGAGTGATTAGAAATCAGATTTGTGAACACTACATTTTGCCCAATGAAACTGAAGCACTTTCAAGTAATAAATGATCAACCTGGGGTTCACAAAAAAAGCTTCGGAAGTCACAAGATAAAAAGTTTTATTTTTTCAGACTTTCATCTTTGTGGTTTTTCTTTTAAATAAATTATTTTTTCCC